ATTTAATCTATCATCAAAATTCTATAATTTGATTGGGCATGTGTCACGTGATTATACTCCGCTTTTAATTTGGGAAAGTCTCACCTAAAGTATCCCCCGTAATTTGTACCTGGGTATATTTCAAGTTTAGCGCAATCCTATTGGCTGTTTTCTGGAAAAACCCTGTTCTGGATATTTTTAGATTATAGGTATTTTGCATGGTAATTTACGGTAGCTTAGTTTCATTCATTACGCGAGATTTTAAGGAAAACTATTGTAACTTGTAAAAATCTTTTTTACAATTGTAAAATTGCCTATTATAATGTGGAACAACGCGAGTTATTTTACTTCGAAGTTAAAACTATGAACGAAATCGTAATATACCGATCAGGGAGCGGCTGATCAGGTTATATAAATTTGAATAGTTAATTTTTAATCAGGTAGGGGGAGGAGGTATGGCTAGGGATGCGTTTATACCGATATAATAGAAAATGGTAGTATAATACCAGGTATAATACCGTATAATATGGTATAGCATGGTATACTGCATACAGTATCCAGGTCTTATTCAAGAACCTCATTTTTAAATTAAATAGTACCGGGTACTATTCACGAACCCAGTGATTTTATTGTGGAGAAGGAGTACTTTATGTGGTAGGGTATTATTTTGGGAGGATGCAGTGCTCTACGGTAACTACCATTATGCTCTAAGCTTAATATTATTCGGAATTTTTCGGGACTATTCTAATGGAGCATTTCGGAATTGCAAATAAGGCAATTTAATTGGCCAACCCATTTCTATTATTGGTATTATACCTATATCTCTGGTATTATACTGATATTATACCAATCGTATAATACAATATAGTATAAACTCGCATCCCTAGGTATGGCCTCTTAGTAAATCGAAATCACCTGATTTCCGCCCATGCCCTTACATGTTGATAAACCCATTTCTGGTTGGTCAATTATCACATAACAAAGTGAGAAATATTTATTTAATGTGCCGCACACCCCAACTTTTCATTAATTACAATGTCTTCCACTTCTGAACGTAGCACATACCCTGGCTATAATGAACTTAAAACCTACTTGAAGCAACTAGAAACAAAACTTTTTACTTCGTTATCGGGACACAATTGTTGCGGTTACCTCGGTTACTTCTACCTCGCATGACCTTAACGTGTCTTGGTGTGATCACTTCTTAGCAGAAGCAAAGGAGCTGTTAACCCCAAAATATACTCGAAGTTCTTAAAGCTCCCTCTGCTCCTACTCCAGCTCCCTACTATTTTTGTGGGTTTGTGGGGCATGGCGTTCAAGACTGCACCTTTATCATTTCCAGATGATTTTAATAACCTAAAAATACAGGTGTGTTTTTTTTATTTTGCAAAAGGAGGGTAACTCCAGTCGGGCGCGTTCTGACTTAGGGGAATTACTGGGTATGACGTTTTGGATAACCAGCCCCATTTCCTCTACTCAGGTG